TGTCCTCATCCTGCCTGCCACACAGCATTGTTTTGAGGCTCAGAGGAGACAATGACCCTGAAGACACACAGAGAGAATGGGCCTGGCCACCCCTGACCTGGCTGGGGAGACCACTGACTTGGCCACTAGCTCTGGGTAGGACGCGAGGTGAGAACTACTTGGCAGCACCTGGGGCTGACCACACTTCTGGGGACGCAAGTCCCCAAGGCATGTGGGCGCATTTCTGGCTTTAGTTGACCCATCCAGCACAGGAGACGTCTAGGCTAAGACCTACCCTATCCCACCAGGGAAAGCAGGGAAGTGAAGGTGGAGTCTCAGGCCCTGGGACCCCCAGTGCTCTCTTCTGCCCTGGTCTGCAGAGGAGGCTGGTGCCAGGGATCTGGATGATTCCCAAAGACAGAGAAGTCTGGTAAACTCCACCTTCATCCCTGGCCCAGCTCGGTGATCAGTTTGTGCAAACCCCCGGCCAGAATGCCTGCTGTGCAGGCCCCCTGTGCCCCCAAAGAAGGCTTCACTTTGGGGGACCGTAGAGAGTGAGGAACCTCCAGGTTGGGGGAGTCGAGGCACTAGAATTGGAGGAGAAGCAGGTGACTGTTGGCACCAGGCATGCCACTGTTCCCAGGGCAGTGCCAGAAGGCCCCTGGGTGTTCCTGCTGGAGGACAGCCCCCTGGAAGGGCAGGTCTACAAGATCTCTTCCCCAGCATACGCCTCCCTTCAACCTCCAGACCAGTCTCTAAGGGATTTTGTTCCTTACTCTCTGCCCTCTGTAGGGCCTGCCCAAAGGGGGCGAGGGGACAGTTCCACCAGAACCTCCCCCCCAGCCCCTCCCAAAGGAGTGAAGGCGGGAATGTCTCAAGACAGGTGCAGAGACCGGACAGCCTTTGCAGCAATTTCACAGGGAAGCTTCCTGGGACTGCCCGTGCAGAGCCGGGTAGTGTGGGTGCCCCCTACCATGGATGCCAGGCCTGGCAGGGACTGAGGCTCCAGGGATTTCAAGGACTCCCCAGGCACTGGCGGTGGGTGACAAGGGGCCCTGGGGCTGATGAGTGACCCTCTGTAGGTCGCTGCACTCCTTGGGGCCCGGGAGGTACCCTACACCTTGGCACCCCGAAGGGCACCTTCCTTTGGGAGGACTCCCCCGCCTCCACTACCCCTGCTCGCTCTGCTTCGGTTGTCACCCACAGCGCGCCTGCCACTCACAATGAAATCCCAGACACACCGCGCC